TTTAGGCTTCCTGAAGATAGAAAAGAGCTTATGCTGGTTTTTATACCATGAATTTGACTTTGGGGAGAAAAAAACAAAAGCATGTGTCCCCAGCTCAGGTGCAAAGGAAGGTTAGTCCTCTGGCATCAGTTACCACTGTCCTACAGGCTTTAGACAGGGGTTTGTGCAGTATCTGATATCGTGAGAGGCACAAACCCATTTTTCCCCCATCCCTTTTCATTGACCATTAACTGATGCACATGTCTATAGAATGTAGAATCATTATCTTCTGTGTGTATTTCTACAGCAGCCTGATCAGTTGGAAGTTAGCCTTGGCATTGTTAAGGAAACTAACAAAGACTGTTTTGTTGAAAGTTAACATCTTGATACGGCCTAATTTATTTCACAGTTGTTATCCTGTTGACCTAAAATGACAGCAGGAGACTTGGAAAGGTGCCCAGTTTATTTAAGAAGCAAGCACAAAATTATTTCTCCCTGCCTACAGAAAGAGCTTAGCAGCATAAGGCACTCCTTGCTCCTGGTCCCAGTGCTCTGCCTGGCAGCTCCTTCCCCTAACAGCTCACTGTGGCTTTTCTGAAGGCCAGTTGAGACCATGTGGCTTTTGTCTGTTTTTAACAGCTCCAGCCTCTGCTTTGCACATCTCCTCACAAGTGTTTTCAATGCTGTGAGAGCTGGGAAGTGCTGTGTAGTGCACCAGTATGACAATCTGCATACACTCCAGGAGTGTCGTGTTTGGGGCAGGATAAGATATGTGGGGACAAGTAGATTAAGTACCTAGTCCTGGGGATCCCTGGGGTTTAAGATTTGTGTGGAGGCACAGTCCCAGCTGCAGTGTCATCTCTGAGCCCCTGCCCACAGCTGTCTACTGAAGCACACTCCTCACTGGTCATGGTGTGCCCGGTACATGGGGTTTGAGAATGGAGAATAGCTCCTGGAAAGCACAAACAAGGCGCACAAAGGTAGGACAAGGGTCCAGAGTCACAGCCTGCAGCAAAGAGAAGTCCCCCTGGATATAAGGACAAAAATCACAGTAAGCAAAGAATGGAACAGAAGCTCAGAGAGGTGGTATGCCTAGTCCTGGAGATTTTCAAAACTCACCTGGGCAAGTCATTGAGCAACCTCATCAGATTTTGAAGCCTGTCCTGCTTTGAGCAGGGAGTGAGAAGAGAGCCCTGCAAATTCTCTCCTGATTGAAGTTACTCTGTGAAAGAAGAGTTAAAGTTGTGTGCCATATACTTCAACTTCCCAGTTGCTTTGGTCCTGTGAAATTATATGGGCTTGTCTTCCAACAGAAGCTCCTGTGAGGTTAAGTACCTGCTTTTATGAAAGATCGAAGTGTTTTCTTATTATCTTAAAGTGTTCAGTTGTGCCAGCTTTATTTGAAATCATCTGCCCATTGTAACATATACCATTTGTCAAGCTAAATGTTGTACAATTTGTGCAGAAAAAGATGATGTTAGTCTAGCAGAACAAAAACCTCTCATGCTGCTTAGAAGAAGCTCTTAGACACAAGTGAGAGTTGGGAGGGCAATTTGAGATCCACCACAATAAGGTGCCCTCTAGGAGCATGAGATGGCATAATGCTGCAGTGCTAGCATTACATCAGCAACTCGTTCCCTAGAGCCTGTTTAATTCCCTCATCCTCAGTCCTGCTGTGGTCAGTTTTGGGTTTTGTAGCTGTCTTTGAAACTTTCTGCAGTCTTCAAGCGATTTGTGCCACCTTCCAATCTCAGAAACATCTCAAAAATCAAACTGAGAGGGAAATCCAGTGTCAAGAATGCAAAGAAAATACTTTGGTGTGTAGGACCCTGTCTTAGGGAACAGTGTTGACAAATGCTGTTCACTGTTTTTGCTTGTGCTATCCCTCCCAGAAGACTGTTCCAACCTTTCTGTACTGTAACAGCTAGAGATGTTTCCCTCACTTCCAGCACCAAGAAACTAATGTCATTTACACTGTCACCCTGTGTTTTCCTTGGGTTGTGGCAGAGCTCACTGTCCAGCTGCTATGACTGAGCTTTAGCAGATCTTGCAAGAACAAATAAACTTGCATGATTAACAGAACCAAAGGAAGGCATGAGGTGCTACATAATTTATGTTGTAGAAACCTGAACCCAGGAACCTCACACACTGCTCTGCTGTGATCCTGAGCATGAGATACCAGATCTCTCTTTAGTGAAGCTGCACGTAACTAGGAGGAGCACAGCTCTCTCTTGACAGCCAGTCACATCAGACCAACACTGTATCTCTTGAATGCAGTGGAGGTTATGACTAATTTATGTTGCTGGATTTGGCCCTAGCCAGACAAATTAATTTGACACAAATTCATTACTGAAGACTAGAGCAAATAGTTGTATGCATAGAGTGATCACCAAGATACACAGCTTAAGACTTGTGTTCATAAATGTAGAGTCAAAGTGGGTTCTGTTGCATTAAAGCTGCCATGTTAATGTGAACACTTTATGCTTTCAGCTTCTGCTGCTTTGTACTGAATACCTTATACTAGGTGAAGGGCAGGAGAAAACCATATTCCACTTTTAGAAAGCTGTGACCTGTGTCAGATCAGTACATTCTGTGCCACTTCTGCATATTCCTGGTTGCTTGGCCTCTTTTTTTGTCCTCTCTTTTGACCACTAATCAATGCTTGTTCAGCAATCAAAAAGCTTGATTAGTAAAAGGTGAAGAGTGGCCAGAGGAATAGACTGAATTTGGAATATACTGAGTTCAAATTTAGGAGAAACTAGAAATGGACTTTTAGACTCTTCTACGTTATAGAGTTGGCTGCAACCATGGGGATTATTTGCAAATCATCTGGTTGTATTGCTTGTGTGAATATCAGGGGATTTAGAAGGAGGAGCTGGGTCTGTGACAGGAGATTATCTGTATGAGCTGCCTCTTGGAGGGACAAAACCCCATGACTAGCTCCCATGTGTATGGTTACAGGGAGTACCTTGTAGCACGGGTCATCCCGGGCACTACTCACCTCTCAGGAAATGGGTATAATGGCCTTCTAGGCAGAGGGCTTGTCAGCTCTCAGTGTATGTCAGCACACAGAGAAGTGTGCTAGGCGTGAGTAAGTGAGAGGGGATCATAATTACAGACAATTCAGTGACTTTTTCTGTGGAAAAGGCTGAGTAGATAATGGAACAGTAAAGGCAGTAAGGTTAAAGACATAGTCTATGCATACCAGCTTTGAAGATGATGAAGTACTATTTGAAAGGGGCAGAATTAAGGACTAACAGTTCCTGAGTTTTGGAAAACAGGACCAAAAAGTTCTGGAATAGCACAAGGCTAACCCTCTGGAGATGGATTCTGTTTTTGCAGTCAGTTTCTTCCATGTTTTTATTTTTTTAGTAAAATTGATATTTTATTTGCCATTTTTTTCTGAGATCTGATATCCCACTATGTCTCCCTCTCAGCTCTTGTCCTAGTGTCCTGGGTTCAGCAGTAGCAGTCATTTTCCTCCTCCTTGGTAGCTGGTGCAGTGCAGTGTTTTGACGTTCAGCTCGGGAACAGAGCTGATAACAATGATGTTTTGGTTTGGCCAAGGACTTTGTGAGCCTCACGCTCTGCCAGGGAGGAGGGGAAGCCGGGAGGAAGGAGAGACAGGACACCTGACCCAGTCTAGCCAAAGAGGTATTCCATACCACAGCACGTCGTGCCCAGGATGTAACTGGGAGTTAGCCAGAAGGGCTGGGACTGTGGGGTTGGAGGAGGTATCGGCTGGTGCTTGGTCAGGCTGTGGGGGGCGAGTTATCAGTCAGCTGGTGGTGAGGTGTTGTATTCTCTTCCCTTGTTATTTCCTTTATCATTGTTATAATTGGTGGTAGCAGTAGTGATTTGTGTTATACCTTAGTTACTAAACTGTTCTTACCTCAATCAGTAAGAGTTGCATTCGTTTCGATTCTCCTCTCTGTCCCTCTGGGAGTAGGGGGAGAGCAAGAAGGGGGAGGGAGTAAGTGAACAAGCCCTCTGCCTGGTTTTAAACCACGACACCTAGTTGCCTAGGAGCTCTCTGGAGCCTGTTCAAGAGAGGGAGCAGAAGGGGCTCTCCCCCATCCCTATGTCCTGTGCTCACCATGGCATAGGGGCCACAGGACATTAGAATAGAAGCTGGAGGCCACTAATTTCAAATGTGGTAATACTGACTTTGTCTGCTGCTTGCGTACTCAATATATATGTTTATTTATGATCAAAACACTCAACAGTTGACATGAGTCTTCAGTTGTACTGAACGGACAAATTCTAACATCCCTAAACCCCAAATCCTCTTCCTTTTACCTCCTCCTGTTAGTCCAGAGGACATCATCTTATGCTGTTTATTTTTGCGGCTGGAAAACAAAGGTGGACTGCAAGTGTGAATCCTTCCCACCTCTGCGGAAGGCTGGCTCTCACCCTTACATGGCAGTGTGCTATTAGGGTCCAAAGGCCCCTCAAGGTGCTCCTTGGCCAGAAATCTCTTGTCTGCACCGCTTTCCTCCAGATGTGCCCACCCCGTCAAGGTGCTCCTTGGCCAGAAATCTCTTGTCTGCACCGCTTTCCTCCAGATGTGCCCACCCCGTCAAGGTGCTCCTTGGCCAGAAACCTCTTGTCTGCACCGCTTTCCTCCAGATGTGCCCACCCCGACAGACAAACTCATCTTGTCCCCCTTGCTTCCTATCACTGAAGGGGTCGGGATAGCCGCTGGGCAGCTGGTTCGGCTGAAGGCACGTTTTCGGTTCCCAGGCCGGCGGCACACGTGCGGGTGCTGGGGACGGCTGTCTTTGGTAAGTGGAAGAAGGGGAAGAGACCCCGCGTCCGGCACGGCAGAGCGCCGAGGACCCGAGCTGTCCTAGCGGTTTCAAAAGCAGCTCCGACAGCAGTCGGGGATCCCCCCCGTCTAAAGAAAACAAAGCAAACTAAACGCGCCCGGCGGCTGCCCGTCCCGCTGGAGAAAGGAAGGTAGGTGGGAAAGCCGGGACGCCGCCGTCCAGCAGCTGGGAAGGGGGGCCGAGGGGCGGTGAGTGGTGGCCCCGCCCCACCCCGGCGCTTTCTGTCCCCTCCGCCGCGCCGTACGGCCGGGCGCTCCGTCTCCATCCGCTGCCAACTTTGTACCGCGGGGCGCGGGCGGCACGGCCGCGGCTCTGCCCTCACCTCACCCGGGAGGCGAGGGACCATCCCACAATGGCCGGGATCGGCATCGACCACTCCAAGCTGCCCGGAGTCAAAGAAGGTAGGGGTGACCCGCTGGGAGGGAGCGCAAAGCCTGGCCCCGGGGGGCTGGACGGGACGGGGCGGTTTGGGGGGAAGAAGGGGATAAACTATTTTGAAACAAAACCTTATTTTACATTTTCTGCCGGCTCCCCGTGTGGGCGGGTCAGCGGGGCGGGAATGGGGTGACACGGTTGCGGGAGCCCTTCGGGATTTGCGGGACCCGTTCCGCTTTCCCGTGAGTTGTCCTCAGCGGCTGTGCGGGTCGGAGGGCGGGCGGGGAAGGAGCAGCGTTAGGTTGATGGAGAGCCCCTGCCGTCCTGCGGGCCGGCTCCCGTCCTCGGGCAGGGAAGGGCCGCCTCTCCGCGGGAGAAGGCGAGGAGCGGCGGGGGGAGGGGGCAGCCCTTTGTCTGCGCCGAGGCTGCCGCCGGCGCTTCGCCTCCGTTCCCCGCGTTGCGCCGGGCTAGGAGCGTGGCCCGCTGCTCTCCCACGGGAGATAAGCCGTGCTGTGAAATAGCCGGGAGACCCTGCGGGTACCGACATGCAGACGTGTAACTCACAGTTACTGCTCGGCTGGGCGTGGGGGTTCCGCCTGGGGCTTTGAAACTGGGAGCAGAACTGCGAACATCTACGAATTGGTGGTTTGGGGAGGGCTGGGGTTGTCGAGGACCCGGTTAAAAATACTTTAGCCTGAGGGGCTTTTCTGAAGACAATGCCCCAAGCACTGAGCTTTGGCGTACCAAGCAGCCTCCTCCACCCTGCAAGAACCCCTATGCGCCCCAAGAGCGCAGGGGAAGGTTGGGCTGCAAGCAGCCCTGCTCACTTTCTGGGTCTCTGGCCACAGTGGCTGACTTTTTAGCCTGGGCTAAGATCCACCTTCAGTCGGGCCGGATGGGCCTCAGCTTCCGTATTAGCAGAGTATCTGCTTCACATGTGTGCCTTTAAGATTAATGAAAGGTGCCCTGGAGCTGCTTTACGTTTGGAAAGCTTTGTACGAAGGAGAGTTTGTGCTTTCTGACAGTGGTGTAAATCTGCAGAAGCTCTGTCAAAATCAAGTTAGTTTAGATTTACGCTGTAGTGGTAGTGGAAAACATTGTGTGCTTGTCGAAATACAACTAAAATGCCTTAATTTGTTTTCCTTGCCACTGGCCTTTTGTTTTCCTCTTTGTAAATTTCGGTTTGTAGAGAATAACAAATGTGAATTTTGTGATTAAGCCAGTTAAAAGGCACATGTCTGTACAGGAAGCTGGAAGTCCCTTTTGACCTCTTGTCATCCTTTAATGCTTTGCTTCTTATTGCTACTGAAAGAAAAGCAATATTTGTGTTCTGAAGTTTTAGAGGTTAATGTTGGTCCTATTAAGTTATTCGCAAAATTGTTACTAGTCATTTTAATGTGCCAAGGTCTCATTCTTAGAGTCTGTCCACACATGGTTATTTGAGAAAATTAATGCAATTAACATTTCCAATGGGTTGATTAAAGTGAATTAAATCCCTGTGTAGATGCTCTTATTCAGAATTTAATTAGCCTTGAATTGATTTCTCTTCATTTGTTTTTGACATGGACAGAGCTAAGGGGTCACTTATGTGCTGAATGGAAGTATGTTTACAGGGTTGCAATGTAGCTCAACCAGCCCTTGCTAAGTTTGCACCCATGGTTAGCATGGATTAAGTTTCAAGAATGTCCTGGTGTGACAATCTGTTACTCAGTAGCAGTAGAATGAAAGTAACATCCCGGAACAGCTCCAGAACAAGGCTGATGAGGCCTGAGCCATGTTCTGCAAAGCCTCAGGCATGTTTCACACTTTTAGTTTAGTGACATCATTTGTTTTTATTGTGGAAAGTGTTGAAACCAAGGTATGCTTTGGATTAGATCTTTTCATGCCAGGTGTTAATGCCAACCAAGAAAAGAAATGCATCACCTTACATACCTAGGGAAATATTTACTGTTTCTGTTAGAGAAATCAATGTTGCTCCTTAGGAAAAAAAACATTCCCTTTATTCATTTCGAGTAAAGGTCAGCTTAGTCATTCATTAACAGTGAAAAACTTTGTTTTGTTTTGAGTACTTTGTTCTTCACCAGCCCTCCTTTGGATGGTTATATGGTTTATCTAGGTTCTTTCTCCGTGGCTGTAGGTAGTGAGACAGGCTCATCCTCCTCTTCTGGTGTGGTCTCAAAAACTCTTCCACAAGTGCAGTCATTTCTGTGCAATAATAGCAGTGAAAATCTGGTAACAGTAGCTAGGTGTTGCAAGAAGCCTTGCTTCCTTTGTTTACTTTCTTTTTTTTTATCTTTAAACCATTTATATTAGCCAAAGGCCTGATACAGATGGCATTTTGCCTTTGAAAACTGCTTCAGCTGGTCCAGTTTATTTTGTGGGCAGGGTTTTGCTGATGTAAAATACACCCTCAAAACACTTTTTCTAGTATAAACTAGACCTTGGGGCTGCAGCCTAGTGTTACCGAGCCATTTTTCCATGAGCAGTAAAGTGGATGTTCTGACCACTGTGGTCAGTAAAGCTCTTTTAAGTTGTTTGCTGAAGGTTTTGGTGTTAGTTTCAATCTGTGGGCTGAGTTTCTCTGCCTGTATTTCTATGCGACTCTCAAGTGTCTGTGACATTTTCTCTTCACAAAGCATTTGCTCTGTGCTCTTTTGACCTGCCTGCCAGGGGATTGTTCGGCTCTGTGTCTGTAGATCATTTTTACTAGAGGTCTCATTTGTAAGCCTCTTGTGGGCAAAAGCATCCTGGAAATATTATTTCAGTTAGTTACTTATAAAGCAAATAAAAGAAACTAGCTTGGATTCTGCTTAACCTCTAACTGTGTCTCATCTCTTGTGATTTGATGCATTACTGGCAGCTAAAACTGCAAAGAGCTGCACCCCCTTCTTGGCTGCCTGTTTTAAATGAACTCTTCAGTGCAGCTGCCCATGCCATCTCAGTGCCGTGTATTGCGTCTTGGACCTGGGAGGCATCTCTTCCTGCTGGATGTACCTGTGGTCCCATCTGTTCTTCCTGCCTTTGCCAAAGGGCTGAGGTCTGTGGCAATGGCTTTGCAAAGGGGATCCTGTCTGCTAAGACTGATGCTTAATCCCTCACCCCATGCAGTCTCTAAGAGCCATCCGTTGTTAGCAGTGGCAGGTAAAACCCAGGTAAGGGGCTCCTCACCAGGGCTCCTGATTTTCCTGCTGGTAGAATCCTTTGTGAGGAGAGAGAAGGGAGGAGTGTGGGGAGGAGGGACCCTGAGCAATACCCCAGGAGTACATGGCTCTTTGAATTGTGGAAAATTTAGTGGCTTAAGTGATTTTATTTGATTCTAGTTTTAATAGTTCTATAAAGTCATTATATCTGTGCTAGTCATTAGTGCCAACCATGCTGCGCTCCTGTCTCTTGAGTTCCAACCTTGACAGAAGCTGCTTGTGCCACCCATGCTTGGAGAGACAGGGCAGCAATGCTCACACTACAGTTTCAGTTCTTCATTAAAGAGCAGATTTGACTTTTTGAAGCTCCTGAGCTGTATGTTTAATGCTGCTAGTTGTAGTCTGCTGCCAGAGAGGCCAATTTCACAAATGTGGTAGTAAAAGATATACCTCTGACTGCAGTCTTAGGGAGACAGGAAGGGCTTGAATCTTTATTTTCTGTCTTTGCAAGGCACTTTCTGGGGCAGGCAGGCAGCCTGGCTGGCTCTTTTTTGCCTTAACATAAATTAAATAAAAGGTTGCTGTAAGCATCACTCTTCCTTTTCCTCCCAACAGCAGCACCTTCCCTCTGACCTCTGCAGCTTAACATAATCTTTGCTGAGACTCCTGCAATAGAAACCTGGCTGCTGACTTTCCAAGTTGCTGGGAAGGGGAGTGGCAGCTCTGAGGTGCAGTGTCTCAGGCTCCCATGGAACAAACTAATGTTATTGGCTTATATTGGGACTTTTGGTGCCTGTGTATGCTCAGGGACACAACAGTGGACAAGAGAAACTTGATGGCTGTCAGAAGTGGAAGTGGGTTCAGAAAGTGTTGATGGCTGGCATGGTGTCTGATGAGGAGGGATTCTGCTTTGGGATTTCTCAGGGGCTGATGTTGAGGGATGAGGTGTCAGCTGTACTCATGTGGAGGAAGGGCTGGCCTTTAGCTGGATTAGTATAATCACGGCAACAATTTTGAAAGCAGCTGAGGGTCAGCCCAGTCACTGTGAAGCCACCTGCCCTGTGCCCTTTGGCTCCAGCTGAGGCTTTTGCTTGCAGCATGTTTTGCATATCATGGTTTTCTGCTTTATGACTTCCTCAGAGAAGGGCTCTGAAAAATTCAGGCAAGCTAGATGGCTCAAGGGCAACAATGAGGTGGAGAGTGATGGGACATAGACACAGGTCACTGGTTCGCATCCAGCTCTTCTAAGTAAGAGGAGGTCTTATCAACATGCATGAATTCAGTAGCTGAGGCAGTGATACTCATTGCACTTCTAGTTAAGGCTGAGTGAAAGTTTTATTTTGCATTCAGTTGTTCTGGGTCTGCAGTGCTTGGCAGAGGAGATGGGCAGATTTAGCGTATTTCATACTCTTGGCTCCAAAATGTAACTGAGCAAGCAGGTCTCCTTCCTCTTTAAATCCTTAGCACTTGTCCTCTGCAAACTGCCATGGAGGTTGTATTGAGGCAGAAAGATTGCCCAAAAAAGCAGTCTCTGGCAGAGAAGAGCTTCCAGACTCATGTTGATGACTTCTGCAGAAACATTTCCTTAGTTACTGACAAGTTTTTGGACTGGGATGAGAGGGGGCACAGTCTGTTTTGCCCCGATTCCTGGGGATGCAGGGAAGGGGGCTTCCCCCATCTGTGATACGAGGACATTAGCCATCACCCATTGCTGCTGGTCCAGGTAATGATTCCAGCTGAGTGGTGTGTTGCAGATGGCATTGTGTTTGCTGTGCCCACTGGCCTCTCATTATTCTCTCATTTCTGGTGACTGTGGACGACATTGGAGGGTGTGTACATGCTAGGCAGGAGTTGGAGTTGGCTGCTGCAAGGAGCCCAGGATGCCA